TACCGTTTTGAAAATAATAATAATAATAATAATAATAATAATAATAATAATAATAATAATAATAATAATAATAATAATAATAATTTAAGACAAAGCAAATGAATTCAGATGTGGATTTCACCTCAAAGGGCAAATCTTTATCTATCCCTTTCAAGGTAGAACAATATACAAACACTAGGATTTAAGTGATACAGATTCCAATCTTGTTCTCCAGCGAGATTTTGCATGACCTCATGGATTGAAGTGTTTATCGAACCAGTCACTTGCCTGTCTCACCATACAAGATGTCATCCTATGCCCGACATCCTCTTCGGCCACCAGCTGAAAAATAAAAGAAATTAATTACCACTCTCACAAAGCAAAAGTTGAAGCTGGTTTCATCTTGAATAAGTTACCACTCTGACAAAGCAAAACTTGAAGCTGGTTTCACATTGTATCTTCTTCATACCTTAAAGTTATGGATCAAACCCGCTTCTTCATACTTCTGTTTTGTTCTTGATTCCGGAAGTTCCAGTCCACCAAGGGGGCAACGAGGGTCCTCTTTGCCTGAATATGAATTTAGTTAACTTCCGTTAAAAGTCTACTTAGGGGAATATATATATATATATATTGACACCAAGCCTGAGGCATAAACAAATGTACACGTACCATTCAGAATCAGCAGGGGGCGTGGTGCGATTGCAGGGAGCGTGTAAGGAGAGTCAAAACGAGAGGCCAAACCGGGAGCTATCCTGTCCCACACCTATTTTTTTATTTTTCATTTTTAAACAGAACAATAAAATAAATTGTAAACTTGTTTGCGGACGCATTATATGACTCAGTAACAATCACACTTTTTTAATCAAAGATGATGAACCAATTAAACATGTAATAGAGACTGACCTTCTCCACTATTTCTTTATCAATTGTGCTCTTTCCCAGATCGATTCTTGCCTCTGCAAACCAACATGAAAATAGTCTCCACACATATTAAGCTTTTGATGTTTTTTCTTTTAAAGAAATTAAAATAATGCATGAATTACAGCCATCTCTTATACTCGGGCTTGTATCTCACCTTCAAAGACGGCCTTAATGCTGTCGACTCGGGCTTGCCATTTGTCATGTTCAATTGCCCAACGAAAACCCTGGATTTGGTGCAAAACAAATGTTTGAGACCCCAGACACTATTTTTCTGTACCTAATTCCTACTAGAAATACCAACCTGAACACCAATTATAGGGACAACCACAGAATACCGAGTATCAGCAGCAGCAGCAAACCATGCATGCATGCCTGAATGATGGAGAACCATACTGTAATTGCCAGTTGAAGAATTATTTTTTCTCCAATAATATGTTCTTTAGAATGGATTTGCCTGACCTCCAAGGGATTCACCGGTGATTCCTATTCTAGAAGGATCCACATCCTCCCTTTGGGTCAGGTGATCTGCCAATTTTATTAAGTCCCACACCTGAACGGAGAGTATGTTAAGCAAGTCCAATCTAGTATACTGGGAACATACAATTGTGGCACATAAAAGTTTCTTGAGATTATGAGTACCAAAATCCAGAAATCAAAATAATACCGTATCAAATATGAAAGGCATAGTGTCGCCTTTTTTCCATGATGACACCAGAGCCTGCAGTGCAACACCATATGTATCCATCACATTCTATAAAAGATATCAAGTATAATTTTTTCCAAGAGTAACAAAACAAAACAAAAAAGTTCAGCAGGCACACTTCTCGGTAAGTCGTTAGGCTTCTGGCTCGCTCTCCATGGTAACGTGAATCTATAGCTATAGCAATATAATCCCTAGAAGCATATGCCTGAAGCCAGAATAAAAACAAAATATAATTAACAAATAAATATATATAAATGTTGGGATCAAGGTCTTATCCCGAAAGAACTTCAAGGCATGAGCATCTAAAAATATAATCCATACCTCAAGCAGAGGTCGCAACCACTCTTTGCATTTATGTGTACTGTGTAAGAAAACAACAGCTGGCCTTCTCTTCTGACCGTTGTTTGCTTTCAGTTTCAATAAAAGAACAGGCAAACGTCCTTGCTCCCCCTCCTAATCAGATTTTTCGACAAACCCATTTGATGTGTAGAACGTTAATATAATTATGAATGTAATACATGCATTAGTTTCATGATCTGCACTGTGACGAAGAACCTGAACAATGTGAAATGATAACCTAGGATTTGGGGGAGTAACTTTTTTGACTTAAGATATATGTTGGCATCAATATATCAACGTGTTCTGGACCTACTTTTACATCCAAAATCCAACTTCTATTTTCTTATCAGATTAAACGTCAGTAAACAGGTGCTGCAAGATAAAAATTAGAACCTACATAAACAATGTCAAATATGCCACTGAAGGTATCATTCAAACCTATGAACTAACTCCAAATTTGACTAAGGTTCAAAATAATACATTCTGCTATAAAAGGATTAGAACGTTAATGCCTCAAAATTCCTATTTTTCACGAATTTGGTTGCTAACAATAAAACAGAAAAGAGAAGGCAACGGTTGTCAGTTTGTGCTACCTCAGTTGTCAGGTAGAAGTTCTCCTCTTGAAGCAGTTCCTTAAAGTTGGGAATCTCTTTCTTCGGGCAAGAGTCCATCACCTGTACAGTTCACCATAGGCTGCTATATAAGAATGACATGTCTTTGAACGAACTTAATGAAAAGAAAACAAAAAAGGGAAATAAAACATGGAACTCAGAAGCAGGTTCCAACCTCGCTGAAGTTTGGCCTAGGAGTTTCTTGGTACAGTGGACCCCGAACAGGTTCCCCATATTCAACAGAAAGAGGAACTGCAGAAAGTTAATAAACAAATATAATGCTTATGAAGGAAAATGTCGGATCACTCCGACCAGGAATACATTCTACTTATCTGTGGCCGTCAATAATAAATGAAGCCTTGATGACTCAATTGAATTTTAGATGCTTAGCAATCTATGTATTGATATGTGTATTTAGGAAACACAAACACACACACACACACACAAAGAGAAGGAAAAATCAAGGAACAAATTTCTACTAGTCCCAAATTGATCATTCGTGCACACAGGTCAACAAGAAGCAGATATCTGACCACTAACATCAAGAACTCTAAAAAGCAAAATAAATAGAATCTAGCTTATTAGCATCAACTTAAGGGAAATGCTACAGTCTCGTTACGGAACCGTTCCATCAGAATTTGTAACCGTTAGATCATCATGTAACCGTCGTGGATAGTTGATCTAACGGTTACAAACCCCGAAGGAATGGTCCCGTTAGCATCTCCCTCAACTTAAATACGAGTTTAAACTTTAAACTGATACCCATGTGTGAATCCCCACAGGCACCGACAGTAATGGGAAGAATTATGTGAATCTTAAAGTTTCTTTCTCCTCCCCTGTGATCCAACATAAACTGAAGCTCGTAAGTAAGCAACTCATCCATTCCAACCACATAACAGTAAATAATAAACCAATATTGCACTATCTGATCTGCTTTCAATTCGAGTACGCCTCACGGGTCAAAGGTTCAACTTACATACACACAGATCAATCAAAATACTGACCAAATCAAGCACGCACACTGAAAATCCGAAACGAATGCGTACCGAAAACAAATAAAGTAACACCAAAATTCCAAAGGAAAAAATAAAATTGGCCTTCACCAGGGCACACACACAGTGGAGAGAGAAATGAGGTGCAGAGATGACCTTCGGCCGAGCGGCGGCTGCGGAGTGTTTGCAAAAATTCGGAGCGGATCTTGACGGCGTCGCTGGTATATTCCATTCTCTGATCGGCGGTGACGGATCGGGAATTAGCTGCGGAGCTGGTCAGCTTCGCGTTTATGAAGTAGTTGTAGCTGGCAGGTGGAAGTGCATGAGACCACACGTGCAAGGCGGTGTTTTGCACGTGCGGCGCCCTCATGATTGCCGCGATTACGGAGAAGGGAAGGAAGAGTTCACTGTGAAAAGTTTGGTTCCTAGCTAATTCGTTTATTTAATTACATAGAATCTCTCTGCCGTTTCGGGAAAAAAAAAAATTATATAGAATCCATTCTTTTAAAAGTAGGGGAGATCTTACAGTCTCGTTACAGAACCATTTCGTCGGAGTTTGTAACCGTTAGATCATCATATAATCGTCAGAAATAGTTGATCTAACGGTCACAAACTCTGATGAAATTATTCCGTAACGGGAACCCATAGCATTTCCATATTTCTTTAATCTTTTTGAAACGGTAGAATATTATAACATCACAAAGGGAGCAAACAGTTCAAAAAATACAAGTCAAACTACCAACCGGTAGAATAGGACACTTATAAAAGCGACCTAAAAACAGTATACCTAACTTGAAATAGCAAATCAAGGATCCGACATAAGTTAAAGTTGTAGAACTCGGAATTTGACAACTAAAACATCTACATTAAATCAAACAACTAGAACAAGAGCAAACGATAAACTTATCACTGAATATAAGAGTCCCTAGCAGAATTACCATTACAAAAAAGCTACTCAACACAAACAATCCTCAGCAGATAGAAGCAAAGAAAACTAAACAACATAAAAACCTCTACCAGCTAAGAAAAACAATAGCCACTAAAGAGAATCACAAGTGAGAACTAGATGAACAACTTAAGTGCTAAATTCAAGCAAAAGAAGCAGTGGCCAAAAATTTTAGAAAACTCATAAGTTTCTGGCTTTCTATATCCACCAAAGCAGATAAGCACTCAACTGGATTATGTGCTCAGAAGAAGTTGAGGCCTTAAGGCTGCAAATCTTGATCCTTTCGGCTTTGCAACAATGATCTTTATCCTTACTCAGTCCATCCCAAGAGATAGTGGAGAGTTCTTGGGCCTTTTTGGCTTTGCAGCAATGGAAAAAGATATGCTCTATGGTTTTTGGCTCTTCCCCACCCCACAGGATTTGCAAAGGGGATCAATTATCATTTTTTCTTCAGAACGTTTCAGTTCACTGACAGAATGTTGGAGAAGTACTTCCGAATGAAATGCTTGACTTTGCTTGCAATCATGTGGAGAGACCAACTTCTTCTCTTGGATTATTTGACATCATTCTTCAGCTTGCTTCATTAAAGGATATCGAGATTGCTCCATTCTCTTCAGCCAACTGCTCATAGACAACTACTACAGAGAAGTTACCATTGTTCTTTCAGTCCCAGACCACTAAGTCAGAGCAGTTGGGAGAGCAGTTGGGAGTAGTTCCAATGTTGCTACTTTAGTCCCATAAATATTCATGTTGCAATTTTGGTTTCATACAAAGTCTGTGTTGCGTTTTGACCTCATACAAGATCAATGTCGCATAATCACTTTGATATGTGATATCATACAAGATTGGCTTTAATGGATAAGAAGGAATATTGGTAGTGAAATGGATTTCACCCGGGCTACGTCAACTAGAACGACCTCCGTACCTGCAAGAACAACATTGGGAGGAGTCCCGATGTCGGGCCTTCGGTGTAAAATGAGAGTGTAGTAATGAATGAAGAGAGAACGAGTTTATGAGATACCTTAGCCCCTTTTTATAAGGGGAGTGTACCTTAAAGCCCAAGTAGGACTTGACTCATACTATTATGCTATGTGTCTTAGCTAATATGTGGACTTATTCTCCAATATATTCTTTTTTATCCATTAAAGCTGGTCTAGTATAATATATTATATCAATATATATTTACTAGTACTACTTTACTTTTTCATAAAGTGACACTGGTGGATATGAACTCAAAGAAGAAAAGTGGTCGAAATTTTTAGTTTTTATTGAATTTATTGGAGAAAGTGGATTAATTTTTGAAAAATGTTGATTGAGCGAAGATTTAAGTAGAATTTTGAGTTTATATTTAAATAATATTTAAAATATAATGATTGATATTATGATAAAAAAAAATAGGGCAAACAATTTTGATACCCAAAGTAAATGCCATTTTGAAATTAGTTTCCATTTTGAAACTTGTCCGAAATTAGTACCCAAACATTCATTCTGTTAACAACGTTAGTATTCGGCCATTAGATGTCCATCAAATTCCCGTTAGTTGTTAACGGAAGTTGTCAAAATGGAGGGAAATTTGACTTTTTTTTTTGCGCCTGATAAACTTATATATTAAAGGCATTTGTACCATTTTTTTAAATAAAAAAGCGTTGCCTCCACTGTTTATAAAAAAAATTGGAAATCTCTAAAAACAATTCGAAAAAAATAAAACAAAAAATCATAAAAATAAAATGATAAGGTGTATGAGATAATGTGTTCTTTTGTCTTGGATAATGTTGAGTGTTGGTCGGAGGATAATTGTTCATTTACATTTGGTTAAGTAATTTCTAACGTGTACTAGATTATTTGAATTGAAAATAATGATTTAATTGACTTAGAAAATTATGATTACATTTTGTTGCGTATGCTAATTTTTGTTATTCAGTACATAGCACACAACTACTACCACTAGAAAAAAGACTCCTAGTTTCACAATAGAATTTTTCTTCTAATTTTTCAGTGCAACTAGTTGCTTTTTCATAGAAAATATCTTGTTATTGGCTTTTCTCAATTCAGCTTCCAATTTTTTTTCTCTTATCATGAAATCATTGATCTCATCCTCAAACTTGTTAAATTTTGAAAGCAGTCCTGATATTATTTGTTTGGAACGAGCACATATTTCTGGATCCATCCACTTGTAAAATCCACAACATTCATTTATCTGCAAGAGAGAGAAGCACAATTATAAATTTTGTTATAAATATGATAACAAAATTAAAATAATGCCCCATATTTTTGGCATGCCCAATATTTTATTTCGGGATTATTTTTTGTCCAAGATGTCTTCAGTGGGAGCTCTTCACCACAATAACATGAACATTTTTAGACTAAAAAATTATAATTCCAAGAATTACTGCTTGAATTAGAAGAGAAACCACGTATTCTCTTTTTTTTATGATTTTTTTTAACTTTATTTTGAACTTTTTTCTATTTTTTCCCATTTTTTTTCTTATAAGCAGTGGAGGCTGCGATTTTTGTTGAAAAAAAATGGTACAAATGTCTTATGTACATAGGTTCCATCAGACGCCAAAAAAACAGACAAAGTCTCTCCATTTTGACCACTATCATTAACAACTAACGGGAATTTGACGAACATCTAACGGCAGGGCACTAATGTTGGTAATATAATGAAAGTTTGACTACTGATTTCGAACATGTTTCAAAATGCCTTAAAAATATATAATATAAAATATTAAAGATGATGGGTAGTTAGTTAAAAGAGTTGATGGACATGTTGTGAGAAAAATTATGGTGCAAAAAATAACCGATTTAACCTCGATCTTTCCGTTGGTCCAAAGTCCAAACCCTACCTATCATCCTTAGACCTTCTCCAACGGTACTGGAAAACCGATCGCAAACAATAAAATTCTCTCCAATGGAACTGCAAAACGGAACGCAAAATGCGTTGTTGGCTCTTTTTCTCTCTCCTGAAACGTAAATTTGCGTCGTACTGTTCCCAGACGCAAATGTTTGATGAAATTGTATTTCATACCCTTTTGTTTGCTTTTTTATTTTTTAGTTTTACATGTTTTATTTATTAATCTATATATATATAATGGTTTTGAATATAGATTAATATTGTTTTTTATTTTATTTTAATGTTGAAATACTTTCTATATATGATGTTTAATTTTGTAATTACAATTTAATATTTTGGAAGATATTATTTTTATAAAGTGTGTATATCCATAACGAATTCATTCCAACAATTATTAAAATATTTACAAAAAAAATTCATATATTCATACAAATACTTTGAATTAATTTATTTACAAAACACTTTCATATATTCATACAACAATTAGAATTATTTAATATGCTTTTGAAAAAAAAAAAATACAAACCGCATTAATATTAAAAATAGAATTATTGAAAATAAAAATGCATAAACTACGCTATTGGTCCGTGTGGTTTTATGGGGGTTGCTCGAACCGTCCCTTGTCTCAATCGCGACGATTTTTTGCGTCGATTCACCCCCAACGGTCACAAAGGCTCTCGTATAAATACACTGCCTTCCCTTTTTTTTGGAGACATTCATCTCGCTTTCTCGATCTTTCGCTATATCTACTTTATTTTCACCTCTCCGTTCTTTCGATCTCCGACATTCCGTGCTTTGACATCTCAATTATTTCTTCGTGGTGAGTTCTTTTATCTATTTTCTTTTTTATTTCTGGCACTTTGCTTCTATTTTTCAAGTGTTTCACCGACTCCCGAGCAATAACACATAAATACAAAAAAAAATGTTTAGGTAGTATTGAAAACTTGTAAAAATTGGTGTAAAAGTTGTAAAATAAGTGGGTAGTATTGAAAAGTTATAAAAGTTGATATAAAAAGAATATTCTTTTGGGTTTAAAAATGAGTTTTTCGGTTGGAGATGAATTACTGTAAAATGGGATAGTTACTGCAAAATGAATTTGAGTATGAGGCATTGACGGACCTGTATTAGGTCCAGGGGGGCCCGTGGGCCCCCCTCAATTTTTTAAAAAATCATTATATAAAAATACTATAAAAAATGAATAAAAATGTAAAAAAATATGTAGAATATATAAATAATTAAAATTTATTTATAATGCTATTTTAATTTAAAGTAAATAATATTATTTATTTATTGAAAAGTATACTAACAATAATTATATTTTACATTTTTGGATAAAAATTTGAAAGTATTTATAATAATTTACTCTTTCGACCTTTTAATTGTAATTACAATTTAATGATTTATAAAACCTAGAATTTAGTTGAATTGTTAGATTTTTTAATGTTAATCGATTGTATATTTGAATGTTGGTTTTTTACTTTATTACTTTTTTTTATGTAATTACATATTTTCAACTTTATTTAATTTTTATTAAAAAATTGGTCATTTGATAAGCTCTAATCAACAAAAATGAGATTCAATGTGTTCAATTTAAATCAAATTTTAACAAAAATAACTTATTTTTCATAAATTATAGATCTTAAACTTAAATTATAAATTCACGAAATCTCTTTTTTTTTTTTCCTTTAAAAATAAAGTTTGAGAGTGATACGGATTCTAAGTTCTTATAAAAACTTGAAGGTACACATATTAATATCTATAATTATAAGTAAACACAACTTTATATGAAATAAGTGTTTCTACGTAAATTACAAACTCGTTATTTAACACTTAAAATCTGGCCTCCTGAGTTAAAATCATAGCTCCGTCACTGATATGATGTTTTCGGTTGGAGATGACCTTATCATAAGTTTTCTGCAAATTTAAATTTCAAACAATACCAAGAGGATCACAGTACTGTTCATCACCCTCTCTGCGTATAATCGGAGACTCCATTAACAACACCACCTCCACTTTCCGTCTCCCCATCACTCAAACTCTTCACGCGTCGCCCCTTTTCTTCTCCGGTACAAAAGATTCAAAATTGAAGGCATTTTGGTTTTTCTCTTGATTATATTGTCAGGGTCGAGAAAATCAATACCTTGTTAGAGGAAGAAAGATTCGATTTTTATCCCTTATTTTTTCCTTCATAAGGATCACGCATTGAAATCACATCAAGTTTTGTTGTGGGCTTGGAAAAACATGGCCGCTCACTATCGTTTTAAGTTTGTTTCATGAGATTTGCAACCCTCAAATGTTTCAGTTTTAGAAATTTCTACGAGTAATGGAGAAGAGCGAGACCACAGCGAGAACAGTGGCGTTGCCGGCATCGGCGCCGGTGGTGAGGCAGCTGGATTTCACGGTCAATCTCAAGGCCGCGACAAAAGCTAATGCCGTGTCGAGTATGATACTGCCGGACCACCCTCAGGCTCAGCTTCAATCCAAATTGCTGGCCTTAGCCCAATCGAGGCAGGTGGCTGCACCTGTAAGGCCTCAATTTCCTCCGACTCAGACGATACTGCCACCTCGGAAAATGGTAATGCCGCCCAAATTCCACCACCAGGATCAGCCCCTAGTCATGGGGCCCGCCAAGCTACCCACCCCAGCTCCTCGTTTGCCTCACCCGAAAAACAAAGCCGTCGTCCCTAAGCCTCCATTGCAGCCATTGCTGTAAGGACTTCTTGTTTGAGCGTTTGAAAGTTTTGTCACTTGCTGCTTGTTTTTGATTTCTTGTTGGAATTTTGATTAGGAGTGTACAAAAAATGGTGATTTTGAATCGTCTCAGTGATTGTGCTTATAAAGATTTGTCTCATCATTGAGTATGCTAAGTGTTATACTATAGTGTTAATAAGATGTGCAAAAACTATACTCCATTTTTATTTTTTCAGGAAGTTTGAGTCCCCAAAATCACGAGAAAAGGCTAATCTTGAACAGAATGACGGTACTCCGAAAAAGCAGAAACAATGCAATTGTAAGAATTCTAGATGCTTGAAGCTGTAAGTAAAATCCCTCCAATCGATTCTCATTTCAAATGATTAAAAATTCATGAGAATGTCCCATTACTACTTGTCTTTTCCAACAGAGTTTATTTATATGATTTCCATATGATGATGATCTGAGTGTGCATATTTTTTTTTTCGATTATTTGACTGATTTTCACCACTAGGGTAACAAGTTGTATTGATCAACAGGTACTGCGAGTGCTTTGCCTCTGGGGTTTACTGTGATGGATGCAACTGTGTCAAATGTCACAATAAAATGGAACACGAGGCTGATAGGAAGGCATCAATTGAAACTATTTTGGAGAGGAATCCTAATGCGTTCAGACCAAAGATAGCTAACAGTCCACATGGAGCCTCTGATGGCGGTGTATGTAAAAAAGGCTTTTTAATGTGTTTGCCGTAGTTATTTTATTATAATAATCTATGTTGCGTCTTCCTGGTCTTGGTGAATGAGGAAATTATTAGGGAAAGTAGCTGGCAAAAATAAAAGAGACAAGTGGAAGTTATGCTTTGAAGAAATATTTTCGATAATTCGTACCTTAATGGTTTTTATTTCAACAATGGTGGAAATATGTAGAAATTTACAATATATCTGAAATTTATTTGTTTAGCACTAGCATGATTCTTCCGATTCATGCAATTCAGGTAGAACACCATAAGGGATGCCATTGTAAGAAATCCGGGTGTCTCAAGAGGTATTGTGAGTGCTACCAGGCCAATATTCTGTGTTCAGATAAATGTAAATGCATGGACTGTAAAAACTATGAAGGGAGTGAGGAGAGGAAAGCTCATTTTCATCAATACCCTACAAATTCGATTGCATTAATGCAACAAGCTGCCATTGCGGCCATCGATGGAGCTATTGGAACTCCAAACAAGAAGAGTAGAACTCAACAAATGGGGCATGGGTTGGCTAGTAATAAACAGTTGAGTAACTGGCCTACTCAAAATCATCAGGTTATATATGAATTTTAATGCAAAATCTTTGTTTATTGTCGTTTTTATCTTTTTCATAATGGCAATTACTAATATTAGAGTTATTATTATTATTATCATCTTTTTCCTTTTCTGAATCCCATTTTGGCACTGGAATGCCTTGCTCACGACCCTCATTAAGATCAGACGGAAAATGTATACGTACATTCCAGACTGGTTAACATTTGACAGTGAAAATTTTCTCAATGCAAAATAGTGTGAATGTTATTGTCGGTTGTCAATGCAATTGCATATTTTCAGCTTCTTTTACATGATGAGTTTCTGTTTCCTTGTAATCAGGAAAGTTGCTCAACATCTGATGCCTCAAATTCCTCATTATCTCATCACAAGTCCAAACAGATATTTGGAATTTCTAAACCTTCCTTCAGGTAAATTTTGTATTACATTTTGTTATGACGTAAACAAACTACTCTTGCAACTCTCGCTTTTAAATATTGTTATTCTGATTCAAGGTCTCCTTTGGATGGGATCCTCCAATTACAAGACGTGAAGGACTTCTGCATGCTTTTAGTTGAACTTTCATCTGAAGCAGCTCAGAATTTTTCGAGTAGGTTTCATAGTAATTGGAGAGTTTTGAGTGAGGAGGAAAGTTTTGAATTGTCTTTTGCTTATGGAAGGGTAAAAACAAAGTAAAAATTCAGTCGTACTTTTCGTAGTATTGGAAGTTAGTTCAAAATTAACCAGGAAGTTGTTTTGCTAGCCTAATCACGTATTTTTGCATTTGTAGAAGAA